TCCTGGTCGACGCTTCAAATGCATTCAACATACTTAACCGCAAGGCCGCACTGCACAACATCAAGATCAAGTGTCCAAGCTTTAATGTACGTTGAAAGCTCCTATAGAATCCATCAGACCTGAAACAAGGCCCTACGAGGTGATACCATATCTACAGTCAACTGAGGAACAACAGGGGGACCCTGTTGCAATGGCAATGTATGCACAGGGGCCTGTCAGTGCTCCAACAAGAAATAAAAATTTGAAACGACTGGGGTCAAAACAAGTGGCGTATGCTAATGAGACCTTACAGGAGCAGAGGCAAGTGGAGGGCATCAAAAAGTGGTGGGACTTGGTAACATCGTGAGGTCCATAAATATGGTGGCTCACCCAAACGGCCAGCAAGTCCTTCCTCGTCGTGGAAGCCAGAAATATTTATGAACGGGTAAAAGGAGGTTTATGAAGTGGAGGTCAAAAATAATTCAAGACTGCCAAGACATCTAGGCGAGTAATTGGCACTACATGGACTTCAAGACTGAGTACGTGAAGGGAAAGGTGAATGAGGGTTAGCAGGAAATCCAAGCTCTGGTCTGGAGATTGCTAACACAGAGCCACATGCGTTTTTGCTGCATTCACCCATGGAGTCAAGCATCGCTGGAACTACCTGATGCTAATAGTGTCAAGTTCATTCCCAAATTAGTGAAAACACACTCACTTAACCCCAGCAGAAAAAGAGCACTTCTTGCACTCCATCAAGACTGGGAGGGGATGGGAATAACCAATCCAGAGGAGATTAAACAATTTTAACACTGCACCACTTAAGCTCACGCAGCCCTCACCGGTCATTACACATTTCCAGAACGCAACAGAGGAGGTCGAGACCAGTGAAGTAAACGAAATTCGTAGGTCCATTATTTACAGATCGACAGCACTGCCAAATGATAAGTTGCAGCAACTGTTGCTGCAGGTTCCAGAAAATTTGAAAAAAAAGTAGTTATATGCAGGAGGTGGGCTACTTCTCGAACTGAAGTTAACTATATGTTACCGGCTAAGGCACTGTTTCAGTCTTAACAAACAAGAATTTACAGATGCCATTGCCTAAGGGTACGGTCGGCCAGAAGGTTTGCCCCCTCCAATGCGTGTGGCTCTTCCTATGATTACATCACGCCATGGTGTAAGAAAGAGGGTCATATGCATGAGTATGACGAAGTGCAGGATCTCACAGCAAATATGTTGAAGGAAATTCAATGGGATGTCAGTGGTAAACCCACCCTCCTTCCATTGATGCGGTGAGAGATCTTCCAACATAGGACTTCAAACACATCTAACGGCCCGTGTTGACGTCAGTGCTCGAGGATTCTGGCCGCTGGTACAGCTAGAAGTTTTCTGACATCAGGATTTTTGATCCCATGGCCGTTTGTCACCAGAATCTAGCTCTCGGCGCTGCAAAGCATAGGAGGAACGAGAAACGACAAGAGAAGGGCATATGGGGGAGAGAATTCAAATGTTGATCAAGGCAGCTTCACTCCTCTAGTGTTCACAACCCCTGTGGATGGGCCCAAGTGCAAGATGTTTTACGCCAGACTCGCTGGGCGGAGTTGATCTCTGAACAGAAGCAGCAGCCCAGAAGGTTACAGCCTGGATGAGATCTCGATCAACCTTCTCTCCTTCGGTCGGCTTTTGTTCTGCCTCAGGGGAACGAGAGCTTCGCCCCTACTCCGACAACTGCTGCAGATATTGACTATGAGGTTGTCACTGAATGTCAGAGCAGATCTGGGCGAGCTCAACTAATTAACACACAGATGGATAGCTTCTTATGTGTTGGGATATTTTATGTGGTAAATAAATGGTGGCGAAGGTGTGGCTATTGGGGCTGGGCCACGTTAAAAAAAAAAAAAAAAAAAAAAGTAGTAGTAGTAGTGTGTGTGTGGCTCCAAGGAAGTGAACCTTACCATATGATATTCTCAGTATTCCCTTAACCTGCTTTTGGGTTACAGTGTGGTCTATTAAATTGGTGGCGTAATTAGGTCAGCGTAATATATATCAAATTTCATATAAAAAAGCATGAGACGTACCCGTAGTAAAATGACGACCAGTGTACGAGGGATGAGTAACGGTACTCTACATGTACATTAGGTATTTTTATTCACTTTTAACCTCTTCACCACTGATCGGCTCGTTAGCCGTTTGGGCGAATGGTCACGTCTGTTACTTTTCCTTTTCTTTCATCCTCTTCACCAAACGATGGTCTCGTTAACCGCTTGGGCGATCGGTCACGTCTCTGTTACGCACTGTTGGCAAGTACTGGGCATGCATCGGCTCCAGTGTTGGTCAAGTCTTGTCTTGAAAGAGCTCACACTCGGTGCCGTCACAACACTTTCTGGTAGATTGTTCCAAGAGTTCACAACTCTCACTCCGAAAAAGTTTGCCCTCGCAGTTTTCTGGACTTGCGGCTTCTGCAATCTTGAGGTGTGACCCCTTGTGGGGCGAGCGTCCGCCAGCTCCAAGTAAGGACACTCGACTGAGTAGTGCCCCTTGAGACGCTGTATCATTTATAATCCCTCGTGGGTTTTAGATTTGAATTATTCTCGATCACCCACGTTTGTTACTTTTTTCAGTAAAAAAAAAATCAATTCGTCTTATCCTTGATGAAGAGGAGAATGCTAAAACTACCTCACCCACATACCAGCCCAATCCCGAAAAAAACATTGCATCTGTCACAAACACTTAATAATACCAGGTGACTCTTGGCTCCTGGCGACTAACACTGATATATTTGAGTGTTTACCATCATAAATAACTTCGTCGTGTTATCTATCCAATCTATTATAAAAAGAACAGAATCTTCTTCGTGGGAATTATAAGATCTAAATTATAAGTTGAACCATATAATAAAAGAGATAATGTTAGATGGAATTACGAGCAAAACTGGGCAATTATTAATTTATTAGGAGAAAATAAACAACTAAACCAATCCTTTCTCGTATAAATTATGGTAGCATTATAATTTTAGATTACGTTTTGCTAGGTTAGGTCCATGTTATCCACTTTCAAAAATAAATAATAATTTAGTCGTCTGGTCTATCCCTTTTCTAACATTAGCAGATCCTTGGGTGGCATAGGGGTGTGTTGCGCATCTCGTTCCTCTATTGTTTTCAAGGAAGCATCTGGTAGATAAATTTATCTTTCTCGGACGCTCATTGGTCAGTGAAACATTCGGGCGGAATATTTCACCAATGGGAGGGCAGCTCACAGGAATCTACAACATGTAGTTTCTACCAAATACTGCTTTGTTGTTTTGGATTTTTAGTGTAGTATCCTATATTTGTGAAAGTGCGGTAAGTATGTGTTATTACTGCTGTGTGAAGACACCAAATCTGGACAGAAAACGTAAAGTGGTAGATGAGGTCTTGGCGGATGTGGAGGAGGTGTAGTGGTGGAGGTGCAGTGGTGAAGGTGTGTGGTGGAGGGCAGGGCAGCTCACACCAATGTTTACTTGTCACCACAGCCTCCACACCCATGTTAGGGCGGGTCACGTCTGACACCCACCACTTACACCCAAAATCCCTGACCTGGAGAATAACAGTGAGAACTTACTGAGAGGAAGGTCTGGATGGCTGTAATGAATTATCAAGAAGATATAGAATATACTGAAATACACTTATATCAGATCTGTAGTTGTCTTCGGGAATTCATCACTGGTGCAGGCAATCATCCTTGTCATCCTACTCATATTACGTCCTTATTATAAGGACGTAATATGAGTATATTTCAATGTAATGAAATAGGATTTTTCATGTAATGTATCGTATTTACATTAAGCCACTTTTAACCAAAAAAAATAGATAAAAATTATAAAATACATATTTATGTAAGTGGGTAAAAATAATTGGGGATTTTTGAGGATCATGATGCTAGGAATAGTTGACCAAAATATATCTTGTGACTGATTAAAAGCATTAATTTTCAGTTTTCAAAAATTAATTCCCATTTTTTATTTTAATTTGTTTATGCTCAGTAATAGATGACACAAACAAACAAGTAAAGCTAAGAACTAACCCACTTAACCTAATGAGTAATACCTTAGATGTCAGACTCATGGGAATGAGCTACCTAAGAAAAAAATCAATAGATGAAAGCTTGATTCTGGTACCTTATGAATAGAAAGTAATAGGTGAGGAGTTGCAACTTCCATACTTTACGTGATTATAGTCCCAACAAATTGCATACTTTAACTACTTATTGAGTTAAGATCTGTTTAATGTCATAATGGGAAATACTAAAATAGTTTGTTCTTATGTAGTTTGTCCTGTTATAAACGATTGTGATCTTTACTTCTGAAGGAGATAGATATTTATGGAGATATGATCACTTACACTATCAATGGTAATGGTTTCCCTAAAGTGGGTAGGGCTTTGAAGATGAGGGAAATGTGGAATTTAACCACTAATAAGAAACAAAAAACAATACACTGTTGGAGATATATTTAAACACTAATGTTCATTTTCCAGTAACAACAACAATGTTTTTCCTAAGATATACATAGTTTATCAGTATTCCTTCAAGTTTATGGCTCCCTCATCATCTGAACATTGAAAACAAGAACACGATCATTAATGAAGTACCGAAAACACGAAAAAGCATAGACACACTTTCTCCTTCGCCATCGGTTACGTGAGGTAAGATTTTATGGTACAGTATTAGGAATTTTATAAGTTAGGTCAGTTTTTTTTTAACCACATTTTCCCTCATCTTTAAAGCCCTACCCACTTTAGGGAAACCATTACCATTGATAATGTAAGTGATCATATCTCCATAAATATCTATCTCCTTCAGAAGTAAAGATCACAATCGTTTATAACAGGACAAAATACATGAGAACAAACTACAGTATTTTTATTTATTTTTTATCATTTTCCTGTTATAGCATAAAACTAATCGTTACCACTTATTGTACAGCATTGTACAACATTTCTCCATAGAATTTTTTTTTTCCATTAAAACTGCAGGAATTGCAACTTTTGTGTACAGTAATTTAAATTCTATAAAACCATTATTTTTATTTAATTTTTTACTTATTAACACAATTTGATGGGCATCTCCTTCTGACACTTCCTCTCCTTTTTCGTGACGACTGGGTGGTTCTTTTCATGGATTTGTATTTTTAGATGGTTAGATAGCCTAGGTTAGTTTTGTAGGCATAGTTTTAGGCCTGGTTGGTTAGATTGGTTTGATTTATAACTATACAATAAATTACTTTGTGGCAGTAGCCAGTACCTCTGCACTTTCTGAATGGTTCCTTTCATTGGCAGGTTTTTTTTTTAGTTAAAAATAATTTTTTGTATTGGGTTTGGTGTGGCTAGGATGGTTAATGTCGTTAATGATAAATCATATATCTATAATGTAGTAGTATCTGGTAAGTCATTCTTCTGATAAACCCCTGTGTGAATTGAATGGAAAAATGGTGTTCAGTTTAAATTTAGCGACAATTCAGGAATCATGTCGTGTTCTGGATGCACAGTTAATTTCTTCCAACTTTTTAAAATTGTATCTGATGAGAAGAAAATTGAAGAATTCTTGTTTGATCACAGTCTACTAAAGAAGAACAGTAAGTGTCCGACCTACAATTCGGATGTGCCATTGAGCAAGAGAAATCATTTCAGTGCAACAGCAGTATGGCGTCAGATGTCAAATGAAAACAATATGGCATCAGGTGTCAAATGAAAACAATATGGTGTCAGATGTCAAATGTAAACAATATGGCATCAGGTGTTAAATGTAAATGTACTGTCGGAAGTCAAAAGTAAACAGTATCGTGCTGGTGTCAAATGTTAGCAATATCACATTGGATGTCAAATGTAAACAATATGGTGTCGAATGTCAAATACAAACAATATCGCATTGGGTGTCAAATACAAACAATATCGATCTGGGTGTCAAATGTTAACAATATGGCGTCAGATATTGTTTGGCTTTTGTTACCTGAAGCCTGAAGAAATCATCAAATTCATATCACGCAAAACATTGCTGGTGCACTTTTCATCATTTTCATAAGGTAAGAAAGCATTTATAGTTTTAAGGTGAAATTTAAAATGGTGGTTAAGATTTGGAATAGGCCAACCATGGAACTCGAAATTGATTTGTATATAGGGAGATAGAGCATAAAAATGAGAACTTTATCGCGTGTTAGTCAGAAATTTTTGTTTTTCGAGTTTTTCTGTCTTCAATTTCAGGTTTGATTCTTTAGGTTACTTTGTTTTTTCTTTTGTCTTGTTGGGTTAGGTTAAGTTTACACACTAGAGGGCCAGGGGGGGGAGTAGAGTCCCCCTGGATAAGAGGTTAGGTCAGACATGTAGCTGAGCAGTACTGATATTTGAGAGGCATTAGGTTAGGTTTTTGATGAATTTTTTGTTGGGCAATAATATATTTCTTCCACCATTTTTAAGATGTTCTTGATAAACTGAAGAAATTTTCTTTTATTTAAAAATTTCCTAACTCGACTCCCTAACTGGGCATCTGTTCTTCAATTTTACCTTTTTAAGGATTGATGTAATAGTTAGGTTTGGTTTACTCAGTTTTTGTGTTTTTGCCCTACAATTTCTCTTTGCTTCAAAGCCCTGTCCACTTTGTGTGATCTAAATTGAATTTTTTAAGTGAAATTGAAAAGTAAAAAAAAAAAATAAATAAATAAATAAAAATACATGTATAATAAATAAATAAAAATACATGTATATATAAATTTCCAACAAAAACATTCTAGAGTATATTTTTGTCTCTCTCACCCTATACTGTATATGCAAATTCCATGGTTGACCTTTTCTGAATCTTTACCCAGGTATCCTCCTATTTACAATAGGGTTGCATTTATGAAAATCCTAGCATAAATTAAATTAATGTAAATCATGAGCCTTTTAACATGGGTTTCAAGGGTATACGTTCCTAGCCTGTCTGACACAGGCATGTGACACAGAAAAAGCGATCCTACGCTAATTAAAAAAAAATAATAATAAAATAAAGTACGCTCACCACCCTTAATAATAACAAGCCTGCTGCCACTTAACAATGTCTAACTTTGTCACCAGAGACACAGTCTACCTTGAAGCATTGACTTTACCAGAGGTGCAAGACGCTAGTATCAAAGCGATCACAAGGTTATGCAACAATTACTAACAGTAACGTTTGTTACTATCGTTAACGTGGATTTTTCATAACCGTAAATTACGAGTGTGTTAAAACCTAATTAACATTGACGCAGATTATTGTAAATCGGGATACCTGTATTACCCTTTTCGTTATCATTTGCTTAGTTAAGGGTGAATACAGTGAATGCTCCCACTGACAACATAATATATGCTGTATAAAAATGCAAACTGATCCTAACCAACCTACCTAACATAACCAACAATAATGATCCTCCGGGTTAGCATTTCTTAGTGACCATACACGGAACCTTACATTGATTATTATATGAGGAGAAACGTAGAGCAAGAAAAAAAATAATAATAATAACTGTACCTGTACTGTCTGTAGTATTCTCTGCAATAGCAGGAAATTATTTTGAGCATTCCAATAAATTCCAGGAAAAATCTCTGCTTTGGGCAGGGGAATGAATTTCCAAGAAATTGTATCGTGTTTCCGACGTGTGCCAGGTGCATGGGTGAGTAGGCTTAGAGTGCTCGTGATATATGATTGGCCGCTAGTGTCATTTGACTACATGGGATGTCTATGATTGGCTGGTGTATCTCGAAGCATACAGGATCTCTTCAAAATCTTGCTTCATGACACTCTTAGTTCATTGTCTGCTGCCATTGTACAAGCTTGTTTGCTCGCTCACTCTTGTTTTCTCATACTGATCTGTGTTGTGCAGTGTACTGTATATTAATGTACTAGCATATAAACGGCCAGAGTACCGTAAAGGCAGTGTTAAGACAGAAAATTGTTACAATTATGTATACTGTACAGTACTGTACATTTAGTAAGTGTCAAAGTACCATATGTACAGTACAGTACGTACTCTACATAGCAGAGTGGACAGTGTATGCTAGTGTGTAGAGGGTGTATGTACAGTATACAGTGCGTGTATAATCCCCCCTTCGTGGAGGGAGAGTAGAGTGACAGTTAGGAACTCCCTGCTACAGGAGATGGTACAGGACAAAAGCAGGCCATCCTGTATCATCATATCACCATTTGGCCTGCCTGCATCACAAGCCCAAGATGACAGCATCTGCTGGTGAGTACAATACAGTACAGTACTGTATATACAGTAGTTTAGTTTGTTTATTTACAATACCCTGTATATTGTATTAAAAAATAAGAATTTTCAATGAAAGTATCGTAAAGCATTTTTTTCTCCTACAAATTAATATACAGTAGAGTTATGTGCATGGTCACAACAAAATATTAACCCTCTTCCATCCTATGATAGGTGGGATAGGTATGTCTTATTGGTTTTGCTTCTCTACCTACTACCCTAATAAGATAACAAAATAATGCCCTTTCAGTCACAGGAAAGCTGGGTCAGATTAGCTAGGTCTGGTTTGTTTATCTTTCTGGTCTACAATAAATCATTTGTGTTGCTGCAGGAGAAAAGTTTATGCAGTTTAGGTATGAAATGCTGCTAGTAAATATGAATATTTATGAAAATGTTTTATGTTATTTTTTCCATTTTAACAGAAACGTTATTGTCTATGAAATATTTGTCTTTTGGCAGACACATAAACAAGTAAATAATGTCAGCTTTTCTGATAGCTCCCTATGTGTTGGTTATGAAAATATTATAAAATGAAAGGTTGGAAAGTTGCAATTCCTCCATCTATTTCTATCTACTTTTGGGTTAAGAAGCAAGTTTTCTTTTATAGAAATTATCCCTAAAGTGGCTCATTCCCATGAGTCTGACATCCAAAGTAGTACCATTTAATGATTTTAATGCCCAGTACAAGGGAACCCCGGGTTACGAATGAGTTCCATTCCTGAGGCCGTTCTTAAGTCAGAAATGTACCCAAGTCAGAACACATGCCCTATGTGCACTACATAGCCTAAGTCCTTTTATGCATCTCGAATCACTTAATTTAAGAGAAAAGAAGAAATTGAATGACAAAATACAGTAAACCAGGCATGGGCAACCTTTCCTCAGTCATGGGCCGCATTACGATTTAGGTATTATTCTGCGGGCCTACCCACCAAAATTTATATCCTACCTAACCCAAAAGTAATGTTAATATTGTATTAGCTCGGACAGTGAAACAGTTTATCGTCACATCCACCTCACGATATTTTCAATTTACTATCAGTCTTTTTCCCATTTATGAAACAAATCTACCATAAAAAATTTTAAGTAAAATGTTAATGTTTCTTGGCATTTAACAAAATATGAATGAAGCAGTCTGTGAATACGTTGATTTTCCTACAGTTACAGCATTTTACTTACTTATAAGACACACCCACCAGAATAATGTCAGTGTTAATCTTGGCGCATGAGAAACTACAATGAAACAACCTATACAGTGATCCCTCGGTTAATGAATTGCCTTCCGTAAGATTCTTTACTTCGGTTAACGAGCAAACCCTCGGTTAACGAATTCCTTACGAATTTTTCCCAACATGTTTTCGCCTGCTCACTAGCTGTAGTATTGGTCCGCCAATAACAGTAATCGGTTTTAGGGCTTAAATTCGTTACCATTTGAGTAAATATCAAGAAGGTTGTACTATTCAATAATTTTCCAAGTCTTATATTAAAGTTTTCAGTCATTTTAACAATTATTTAATATAATTGAAGTACAGGGAACTAGTTTTTAGCTCGCCAAACAGCCACTCAACACACCCAAAATGGCGTCAGTGTGTGTCCCTGCTCAGAGGAGGGTCTCTTGAACATAAACTATTTTTACGTTTTTACAATACAATTATTGGTCATTCTGAAGTTTATTTTACATATTGACAATATATAATGCAGTGCAGTGTTGATTTAAAGAAAATAATCCTGAATTACACCAAGTGAACTAAAATTTTATGGGTGAAATGGCGGCATGGGGTGACTTCTCTTCCACCCCAATGCCTTCTCTTCTCCCTTCTCCTCCACCCCCATTCTAATTCCCATCATCATCATCAACCAGGAGCCTTCTGCATGCACACCTCAAAGTAAGTGTACTTTACTGCATTTATTTTTAGCTTGTATGTAATTTTCGGTGAGCTGGAACCAATTACCCAAAAACCCATTGAAACATTGGTTTTGGTTAACGAGCGACCTTCTGGAACGAATTGTGCTCGTTAACCGAGGGACCACTGTATTATGAGTGTGCTGGCGTGGACTATATCGTTTATGTACAACAAGAACAGTACTGGACCGAGAATGGAACCTTGAGGGATGCCATACAAAATTGGTGAGGAGTCAGATTGGTGATTATTAAAACACACATACTGCTTCCTGTTAGACAGATATGAGGTAAACCAATTGTGGGATATGCTCCTAACGCCTTAATGTTCAAGCTTTGACAGAAGGATAGAATGGTCGACAGTATCAAAGGTCCAGGAATATACTGACTGTGAACTGACTGTCATCAAAGGAGTTTAAGAGGTCATCAGTAAAGGACAGCAGAGCACTCTCAGTTGACCTTCTAGCTCTAAATCCAAACTGAGAGTCTGTAAGGATGTTATTGATGTTGCAGAAGGAATTTAGTCAACTACATGCTAGCTTCTCCAGTATCTTACCTCGGGCTGGGAGGACTGATATGGGGTGGTAATGCTTGAAGAGACCTTTGTATATTAGTATATTGTCATCGCTTGCTGCTGCTTCATTGGACATTTTTATGATGGTCAATAATTCATCTGCCTTGACGGGATAAGAACAGCTCATTTTGCTGTCTGTTTTGCAAGTAGGCTCTAAATTCCTCATGGTGATCAGGGATGCTCTCTGCAAGATTTTTGCCAACATTATTAAAATAATCATTGAAGTGGTTGGTAATGAGGGAGGGTTCGGTTACAACTGAATCATTTATCATAAAAGCTAAGTGGGGGGGGCCGAAGGTTGAGTGTTCCTGTTCTGAATAGAATTTATGATAT